TTTTGCCTTTTATCAAGGAATCCAATTCATTTCATCTTGCTTTACTGAATTATCATAGATCATTTTTAAGAGAATTCTTATTGTCCTAACATTCACTAAATAGCGTTTGTTTCCGTAGAAAATATCAAGAAAGCAGTTTATGATGAAACCCAAGAAAGCATACCGGGACTTTTTCCAAATTTAAAGTTAGCATTGTTTCTATGTGGTTTCCGTCAGATAAATGAGGCAACTCAAACGATATTTGATCCGGGAGTGATGTCATGCAAATATACTACAGTGATTTATTTCCTCGGTATAAACTATGTTACTTTTATTAAGCTAAGTCGGACAGAATGCAGTAGCATCTTTACGGAGGCGTTTAATAAAGAACCTTGATAAAAATGAGTACTACGTGAATGAGAACCGGAAGTTTTTTAAATTTTTTTCGTGCAAAATTCAGTTGGATAATTTGAATACCCGATGAACAAATGGCAAACGGGTGGTACCTGTTGAGAAACCAGTAGAACTCCGGACTCAAAGTATTTTCGTAACTAGTGATGTGCAACAAGTTTGGCAAGGGATCACATTCAAATATACCCGGCTTTGTAGAATAATGAATGAAATGCAATCGATACTTGTTTTCAACCTGTATTTCAAGATAATTGACTTGTTTTCGGTCGTCCGCTTGTTCGCTGAGCTGGGCAATTCGATTGCAAACGTTTCATCACCAATCGAGGTGACTTGTTTTTCAAAATGCAATGCGTCACAGTCACACTATTACCAGAACTGTTACAAACTAACAGCCGGCAGCAGGCAAATTTATAGAACTCAAGCATTCATAGAGGGAATATGGTTCTGTATTTCACGTAATATTACTGGGCCGCGTAGAACACAGGTGCGCTCAACCAAGGCACAGAACTTTCGAAATCCTCAGAAACATTAATAATCAATAAACAGGGTGGGTAGACTGAAGTGTTTCACACAGTCCCTGGCTTTTTGACATCTCCTCAGAATGTATCGAAACCTCGCGGCGTAGAGTTTCAGGAGGACGTTCGTTCCGACAGATGTTGAGTGCAATCATAGCATTTACTGAAACCTGAAAATCATGAAAGCTAGAAATTAGAGGGCGAAAAGTTACTCATGTACTTCCATATTTTGTGTTGGCAAAATCCCCATAGACCAAACGGCTTTCACTATGACCTTCACTGTCGCAATGTTACACAAGCACTGTATGCTAGCATGTACACTTTTAAATGCCACAGTTTGTTCTAGAAAATAGGAAAATCTGATCGCATCACTTCATCATCAGACGTGTCTTGAACCGCACGGAAAGTACCTTGTTACTGATTTACCAAACACAGAGTCTCAGACGATAGATTGGACACGGACACCCAGCACTGATCGAGTCGGCTAGTCATAAAGAATCTCACGGTTTGATTCCATGACTGCATTAAACGGGAGCAACCTGGTTACTCATTCACTTGGCCTGACGAAGCTTGTGTCAAGAGCGAAACGCTATCCAGCCATAAGTCCACCGGTAGTTTAGCGAACCTATCTAAAACGATGACTACACACTCGGTTCAGAACATTTTCCAATTGACTGAAAATACTTATCAAGCAGTTATGCTAAGTAGCACCTCTCAGTACAGGGCTAGGTTATTAACAAAAACGAGTGGTGGCCGACAGCGAATATATTCAGTCCTACAATGATAAAAAAAGTTATAACATTGTTTTGATGTTAGTATCACAAGTTTAAAAGGCGGACAATATACAGGAAGACTGGAGGTCAAATGCGAAACGTTGTCCATTGATAAATCCACTGATTTCGTTTACCAAACCTCAGTGAAACAATGTTTGATAGGTACTTTCAAACCCTTTCAAAACCAGAAAAACTGTGCTAGTTTGAAGTGTTTATGGAGTCTGGCTCCTTTCGAAAATGTTACGGCGAAATTTTACGAGTTTTGCTTATAAGTCGCCTAAAATTGTGGAACTGCATGGAATAGAGTAGGCAAACTAACACTGAAAGATTATTTTGGCTTTTTGCATTTTACATCACCATCAGGTTCAGACTGTAGGCTATTTTGTAACCCTGACTACGGGATTCATTTACCGCATCTCTGTGGCAATCAATTATTGTTTGTGCGTCACATTTTGAGGTTCTGATTTTGGTAACTGCAGAAGGTCGTTGCTTGGGCAACTGCAGGTTTGCATTCAAGCAAAAGATCAGATACACGAAGATTGTTCAGGAACTGTTCTAGCCGCTGATATATAGCGCGTTTTTCACGGGCCTAAAGTCACAAAAAACTCAAATACCAAACCATACGTTCAAGTCAGGTCTTTTTGGTACGGTGACCAGATAACTGACAGTTGCTGAGGTTCGCGCCGAGGTTCGTGCTGTCTTGTTTTGATAGCGTTCGGCAAGACTGATCGCATAGCCAGTCTTACGCGACAGATCTCAGGTAGTCAGTCCAGCTCAATCAAAGACATGACGACAGCAGTCTGCGAGGCACCTTGAAACAGCGATGCGAGAACTTTGCCGTGGCCGCCACCTGTATGGGTTGGGTTAACAAAGGCAGTGTGTTGACGACTTAGCGACAATGCACAGGCCCTTTGAATGCGCAAGCCCTTGTCACTGAGTCGAAAACGTCACAGGTACAACGCGTCTCGTGAAAACGACCAGTTAAGCCATCACAGTTTCACCAAAAAACTCGGGTATTCACAAGCCAGGTTTCCAGCCCTCAAAATGAAACAACTGCTATGTGACCTCTGAATAGGTCTTTGTTGTATGGTGAGGCGCTCAGTATGCGCACAATGGAGTTGAATTTTTGGAAGCTGTGGCGTGTCATTGATGGACTAAAACAGACGAACAATTGAGTTCAGCGTACAAGTCAAAACGCTTGGCCCTATCTAGAAATCCCGGGGTCTCATCAATGCTAGGAAAGTATTCCACCAGACTTTTTCCGCCAGAGGTATGACTGCTTCAGTGGACAATGAAATTTGGTGAGCTGCGAAAACATGAATGTAGATTAGGATGCTTTCTGGTTCGGGCACATTCACACATTCGCGCAAAAAGTTTTATTCCACTCGCAAGTGTTTCGCAGTTTAGAGCATTGTGCGGCCAATGGGCCCCGTATGATGGTGAATAAACTTGTTACTTGCGCCGTACTATTTTCAGGTTATTGGCTTAGATGTGTTGAGGTCGAGTTTGACCACATCCGGTAGCACTTTCTCCAAGACTCAGAGACAGCAGCGTGTTACGAACCACTGAAGGTGAAAAGAGCACTGTTTTTTTGCAGCAGTTGTGGGCTTTTGAATACATTAGTGTTTGAGTGCAACGGGCCGAAAGCCCGAACAGAGTCATCTTCTGATAATGGGAAAAATGACAAATGGAGCCTCGAGTTTAACACCAGACCAACTCAAGGTGAAAGAGGCACTTTAGTGAATGGAAGGATTCATATCGTCCGGTTTTTGCATGCCTGCCTTATGTTCTCTAAGGACAAGGTTACCCACAGAACTGATAGAAATACTGGTCTTCTAAGCTCATTTTGCAAGCTAAATTAGTCTACTTGTGTGATCAACCAGAGAGCACTTGCTTCACTGTATTGTCATAGCCTCTCTTTCATTATGGATTTGTTACTTGCTCTTCAAATTAATGTGGATTATACATAGATCATTTGATATTATTTTCCTACAACTAGCTTATCAAGGGGTGTAACCCCTAAAAAGGAACATATTTTTGAGAGCCTTTGTCGAAGAACTTCATTTTCTACGTTTTAGACCATTGTTTCTGAGTTTTCTGCGGGTCAAGACAGTTGTAATGTGTATGTCCTTTTGATCCTTTTTGGGTTGATTCCGCCTTATTTTCCAGTGAAACAAGAACCCGGTTCTCGGTGAAATATATTGAATAGCTACAATTTCCATTCCTAAACACCGAGTGCGCTATACTGCGAAGTAACCACGTGTTCAGGTATGCGTGAATAAATGTTAAACTAACAAGTTAGTAGTACCCAGAAAGTAGCAAATTTAATCTGTTAAGTCCACCAAAATCACTCCCTTATGTTGCGATGCAATCCGACTACCTCACCCCCAAAACTATCTGCGATATCTGTTCTCGCATTAGGAAAACCGGATAGTATCATAATGCAATAATAGCTGACCTCTCTAAAAGTTTACTCATGAATTTCACACAGACAGTTTATTGGACGTATTGCAGATGTTGGATGGCGTCTGCATCAGTTGCTTGTACAAGTCCGCTTAAGGTAACCCGGTTTTTAACTTCATTCCGCCGTCAGGCAATGGGCAATCCGACCAATGATATCCCCGCTGTATACGCCTACGTTACACCACCCAGCTAATCTCCAGCACACATTATCCAACTGCCTATCTTCACAATCTTGTCCAGTTTGGTCCGGTTCAGGTTCGGCGGGGTTTTTCAATGTCCTAATCCTAACAAAAACGTATGACAGCGATGCTGTAGATCGGTGCGCTAAGAGGATAGTATGAGAAGCATAGCTACCGGCTTTTTTCCAAATTCGAATTCATGCCACCTTGCACTGACAAAGGCTGTCTTTTGAAAATAGCATCCTGTAGATAGAACCAATAAAAGCTTTTCGATTATTCATAATATAATTCTCCATGAGTGAGAGGGAGAATGAACAGGAATGGTGAGATTATCCAACTTTGTCATCGAAATACAAATACACTTACTTAGGGAGAGCTCTGGAGCTGCAGAAACAAGCAAAATGCTTAGTATGCTTGAATTAACCTGTTATACCGTGAAATAGGCATATTAGCACACGCTGCTGACAATTTCTGTGCCCTAGTTTGTTGGAACACGAAGGTTTACCAGACAGATTTGTAGTCCTTATCTGAAAGCGGTCTTCCCCAAAGTTTCCTTCTATTCCAATAGAAAGTAACTGGTCTAACGGCGTGGTATTTATACCGGGAATACTATGGAAAAGATGACAAAATATCCAAACGTATTTATGGTGACAATGTTAAACCTGCCTTTTTTTCTACAGAAATTCGACTGTTCGTTTGCTGATGGGGATGTCGTTTACTACCACGGAGGGAATCCGCTAACCAATCACGATCACGTGCAGGTGACTATATTCTTCTTTCGTGACAACAACTCGGTGGTCCAAACGGTGGATATAATGGTTGACGTGGTCGATGAAAGCACCTACACTGGTGCGATCTCCTGGATTACTTCAGGGGACAGAAGTGGAGTACCCAACGGTAATGACCCAAAGTTCATGGAAAACTTTTCGGAGAGGATTCAAGTGTTGGACCAACTCAACGTGTCCAGCCTGAAAGCAACCAGCAACAGCATTGGTCCGGATGTGCTCAGAATTTTGTAGGTTACCATGTATTTCTATCTATTAAAGTTCACACACACACTTCCTAAATGAAAATACTCACAAGATAGCTGAAAACTTTCCGAAGAGTAGCTGTTGAATCTTCCGGGAAAACCAAATTGCGCCAGGGCAGCGGAAACTACTCACGAGAAAATAATGCGAACGGAAAAAGCGGATAACAACTAAGTGAATCCAACATTCGATTCAGAGTCGAAGGTTTAGGTGAATATCAGATGAACTCATCCATCGTGAAACATCTACCGTGTCCACCTGTTTTTTTAGAACGGATTTCACTTCCGACACACTGGCTCAAAACTCCCTTAAGAACGACAGATGGTCCACTACTCGACGCACGCCTCAAGTATAAATCACCGGCCAGCGATTTATTAGTGATCATATGTTCCTTTGCTTAACAATTCGATCTCCAACCGAGAAGATTCCTTAGTCAAAGCTAAGCAGCTTGAGAAATGGACTGAGCAGACACGTGACCAGTAGGATTGCCGCTTGCTTAATCGATAAAGCTCATCAAATCTACCTAGGAGAATCCTTCAGAATGATTTATCAGGTGCTACCACATTGTATTGATGCGTGGGCTAAGTATCTGAAACAGCAGAGACGGTTACCGTTCGGCTACCTTATCCCATTATCCGTCACCACAAAGGGAACATGAAGGTCTTAAAGCAGCCTTGTCTCATCATTCAGAGTCACTAGTCTGTGAACGGATTAAAGAGTGCGCTTGCTTCAAATCAGTTGTAGAACGTTTTGTACGTGTAAAGCTGTCAGAACAAACGCTGTTGCAATAACATTTTATCATAACTTTATGTTCTTTTTCTGAGAAGGGAGTCTTTACACAGCTCAGATTTCCAAAAGGCTTGGACCTGATGGACTCCTCCAGTTAATTTGAAATTCCCTGGTACTCAGAATACGAATTTTCTTAGGAGCCGAAAACGGATGCAGTTGGTTTTGCCTGTTCAGGCTTGTTTGTTTGTTTTCGGAACCGAAGGGTAGGGCTAATTACACGACCTACTATTCATAATGATTCCCTATGCCAAGGTGAAGCTGTCAGATCATTAGGAGCTTAAGATACCTGTGAAGATATGGTGAAAACCAAAGGCTTGGACCCGGACTGATAGCCCAGAACCGGTTTCCTAATCAGCTCTACGGTCTGTCGAAGTGAAACCCCAGGCGAGTTTAGATACTACATTTAGTTATTACTGTTTCCCTCGGGGAGTTCCTGCGCATACTGAGATTCTTCATACTATCATAAACGAGGGTTTCAGTTGAGTCTTCCATGAAAACCAAATTGAAATGCAAATGAGTGTATTCATTGATATCATCGCATTACTAAAGGATATTAGCATTCGCGTGATTCTAGTAGAGTTCTCCTCTTCCTCCTGTTTACAGCTACGACCGCGAAAAGGAGGTCTGCCGTCTATCATTCACTAGTCCAGACTACGGGATGGAAAACGAAGAAACAATCTATTCGAACGCAGGCTTACATGCTCCAAAGCTTGGTCAGCCATTGGCAGCGGGTAGCGCAGTCGGCGGAGTACACAGGTGGCCTCTGTTTGGTCAGATTGTTGCTTTCAACCGAAGCACCATATATGCATTTCATCACGATTGCCAAGAGGCACTGATTCAGGGATACCGGTAAGTGGCGTAGAACGTAACCAAGGCAAATTCTGAGGTTATTGAGAGAGGCTTGCTTGCTCTACTCTCCGTATGTCGATGTACCCTGACAACAAACCTAACGAAGAACACCCTCGCCAGGGCGGACATGATTTAATTCATGAGAACTGAATTGGGCTCTTTAATGAATCTGAAATTAGTTGGAAACAGAAGTTGAAGTGCAGTAAATCATTTCTACCAGGATAGCGTCTAGTTCTATCAGATGGATATAGCCGCGCCACATTACATCGTGTCATGTTCTGAGTCGATTTCTTTAGTTCCAGCGTCCATTTTCTGCCCTATTGATGCAGATGACACCCCGGTGTGAACCTTGGAGGAACCATTTTTTAAAAACTACTATGAATTCTACGACATATAAGTGCACTAGGATGCTGCCGATACACCACAGAAACTATGGGCAGCTCACTACCGGTTTCACCCTTCTCGGGGCTGGTCAGGTAGGTCCAGTCCTCGAATCTCCACAACCTATGGTGCGATTAACAGCTGAAAATTAGCTTCCTGATAAACGGACAATCATTTAAAATTCGTCTAAATCTCTCATTCATAATATCACGCTAATGAGCGCTCTGCACAAAAGCGGTATAACTTTCTGTTAGAACGGTACTGAGGATATCGGACTGTATTATACGCAATGATTTAGGTCTATTTCGGCTGTCTCACGTCAACATGAAGTTAGCTTGCCAATGAAAGTTTACTGCAAATTAGTTACACCCAAATGGGAACTCAGGCTGTTCGGGCTTCTAAGAACGTGATTGTCTGATGAGTCCGAATTAGGACAGAAGCCGTAGTGGGCTGTCCAGAGCTTTCATCAATTTCATTATTATTACTGAAACATTCTCCGATATAGCGTGCGCGACATTTTAGTTTTCCACGGAGGTGCTAAAAATTAATCCAGATAGTTCCTCACTAAAAGGCCTCAACAGAGACTCGCTGGAGTTCAATTAAGAAAGAGTTTGATGGGTTTTCCCTAATTCAGTCAGTACAGTGACGATGTCACCTCCATTGGTGATGAAGCGTTTGTAATCCAACTGCCAAGCTCGGCGAACAGACCAACAACCAACCTTTGTAAAGTATTTGGAGCGCTCTTTTGAAGACTATCTTTACCCTTTCACGAAAGGTCATACGTAGTAATAGTTTGGCTGGCCTTCATTTTTAGGTCACCAGGTGAGAGGTTTCAGTGTTTTGTTTCACGTATTTACTTGGTCGATGGATACACTGTCCGCTTCATTGCAGAACACCTGACCATAAATGTTGAATCTTGTTTCGAATCCAACAAGTTGGGCGCTGATGACCGCGAAATCGATGTGAACTCAACCAACCGATGGCCTAAGCTGAAACTTTTGGCTTTTTTCGGTGGCCCAATTCCAAGATAGTTTGAGTGGGAAGACAGTATTAAAATGTATAGATATAAACCGCCAGTGGTGAAGCACCGGGTTTTATCCTATCTGGATCGCGACTGCAAGGCTGGAACTTTTGTTAGTAGGTGAGAAGTGTGCCAGGTGGAGGGGGATTATGCAGAACGCCCAACTGCTTCTGTTTTTAACTATACAGCTTTAAAGTATCGATAGTTTGGTTACATCGCAGAAGCGACAATGGAATGACTTAAGAACTGAATATTGGCATTTACCTCACAATGAACAGTTTGAGGAGTGAGTCGTCCGATGCTGCATTCTGAACACCGGTAGGAAGAAAACGCGGCAAAGTGGAACTGATCATGGTCACTGCAAAATTTGTCGTCCTTCAAATATACACTACATGTTCCCTTCCATGTTGATACATGTGGTGGTCAACTCAACTGATAACGATCTTGACTCCAGTGGCAGTAAGAAAACGTATTGCACAGATTTCATAAAGGTGGAATGAACCGGGTTTACACGATGTGAATACACGCTGACAATGTTATAAAAGATATCTGGTATCGAGATTTAGTTGACTGAATCTTCTTTACAGATAGTGAGTTGAGGATTTTTTTACGGGATTGCATTCTAGAAGTGAGCTGTATCCCATCAGGCATAAGTTGTAGGTTCACCACAAAAGTAGATTTGAAAATCTGATTAGCCTAGCGAATGGAACTGGAAAGGTTTCTACGTTAAGCGAAATTCTTTCATCAAGCAACCGATCCGCAACAGTGCAATGGACACGAAGTACGGCGTGTTTCAGCTTAACACATCGTGTTTATCTACTCAGAGTCTTGCTTTTTATTCCAAGAGTCTGCCAAAGATTCCGCATGGAGAAGGTCAAACAGAATCTTTGTTCTATGTATTACTATCGATTAAACAGTTGCCCCTTTTGTGTTTTTTAATCTAGATAAAATTGGGGAGAAGAAATACACTCGAATTTCTATCCTATTAATAGTGCACTACTCATAGGGTTGCTGGAAATCCGTCGACAGCCCACGACCGATTTCACCCTATGTGGGGCTCATCAGGTAGGTGCAGTCCCCGGGTTTCCGTCAATCTTATGTTCTACTTGAAACCAAATTGCACGAAATTAGCGAATATACACTCATCTGCAAACTAATTTAGTTCTTTCGAGAGACTCACCCGGAACCCAGCTGAACCTCTCGTTTCTGATGCTTGTCACAATTCTTGGCCTTCTCAGGTTATAAAAGTAGATTGAGGGCGCGTGAGTGAATTTTGACTGCTGCTAACCAATATTCGTGTTGCAATTGGTGGCATCTGTGCAGCAGCATATGAAGGAGTTTTTAGTGGCTTCATACGATCTTCTCAGAACGGATATTCAGAGATGTTGCTTGATTTAAATGCTCTGATGGTGACCATTTCTTCCATTTTCTTGATATTTTACTTTTATCAAAGATATATGCATCGTAAAGCGAACAGCCCAGAGACAGATTTCGTCCCCATCGTGGTCACTATTTGGCGTAGACAGGAGGATGGGAGTAAACTGCTTCTCATACGCAAAGGCATATTCCTTCGTGTGTTCATCGCAAATGGTTTGCAGTTGATAATGCCCGTGGTAAGGACCTTTCGTCAGGTAAGTTCGGACACACTTAGTTACAGTCTACTCTATTCAACATAAGGATAATCTGTTTAGAAATAAGATCCTTCCCATGTGGGGATCCGTCACTTAAATAACCAGCCAACATAGAACACCGACCCAAACTGTTCGACCGTAGAACAATGCCGTTTTGTCCTACCGATGTTTGGGTCAGTTACGGCAGTATTCAGCCACCCACAGTTCAATGGACTGGTAGATAACCCGGACCTCCCTAGAATTTTGTGAGATGCATATAACTCGTGATTACTTACAAGTTGAAACAACTGTGAAATGATTTAAGGTTTTCGAGCATGGACTGGCTTTACCTACCGGAAGACTTATCTATCATGTGGACGTGCTAAGATTGCACTGATTCGCCTGGGTTGGGTAGCCTCAACTACTTCCACATAGCATCAAAATACTTTTATTCCTTTGTGCCTTGTGTTCTGATACTTAGACATTTCTGGTGCAGTTTTTTTACAAGGGCAAATAAGTTACACATTATTCTACGATCGATTATAATGCGTTTCACTATATCTTTTTAAAATGTAAATAGTTTGGATACACAATCACGCAGTATCAGATCAAACTTAGAGGAATGAACACAGGTTAGCATTTCAATGGGAAACAAACTTTCGGACGTATTTCAGAAAAGTGAAGGAAAATGTTTCAAAGGGCTGTGATAGAACTGTGAACAAGAAATACCTGATTTGAGCACAAAAGGCCAGTAAAAAAACATTTGGCCCATTGGGAAATGCAGGAAATTCTCAAACCTGGTTCTTGTTCATATGGTATTCAGAAATAGTGTGATCAGCTCAGGCCGAACACTTTGGATGGACTAGCCATATCGTCCACCTATTAAAACGACACGAGAAAGATGGGTTGATGGTCAGATTCAAAATGACAAGCATGATTTTAATTCAGAAAAAATTTTTCATTTGAGGGAAAAGCTGCGGTTGTATTCTGATTCGAACTTGCTCTGTGTAAATGCAACGACAGTTCAAAGTCATTATGTGCTGACAAATGCGAATTTAAGCTGATATAAAAAAGTCTGATTGATCTCATTGCATTTCCCATAAAACCTCTGTTGATTGCAGGTAAATGTGACCCACATCGGTGGTAGTCTTTCGGTGCTTCCCCGCGACAGTATCAGTGTGCCCCACGATGCTGTTCCCGGCATGGAACTTCTGGACGTGAACATGACCAGGATGCAGGGACCATTACAAGCTCAGATTGTCAATCTGCGGGATCCAACAAGACCGGTTACCAGTTTTCGTATGAATGACCTTCGAGGAGGATTGGTCGCACTGCAACTGTTGAATTACGCAGAGGCTCTTGTTAAGGTAGAGTGACGAGTGAAGTACGGCTCACACGGATAAAGACAAAGTTTTTGTGACTCCTGACACAAGTTATTTGGTTAAGATCCTCTTGTGTATGTATTTGGACCAGTTGACTGTCTGTATTGGGTGATGCCCGGAAGGGTAATCGTTTTGAGATAGTTTCATTAATGAGTTTCACTCTACAAAGGTTCTTCAACGTTTCAGTGCGTCCCAATTTAACTTCTTGTTGCCTCCTGTTTAGTAACGACTGGGTGTTCCACCACTATCCTGGACGGAGTCAGAATGCCAGCTAATTCTGCATGACCTTCAACCGTTTAACAGATTTACATATGAGTCTAGGTACAGATGATAGATGCTTTGGGAGGCTACTGGAGCCAGTGGCCATTTAACATTTTGTATTTCTCATCTTGCAGGTGTTCGTCATCACACTTACAGTGGTGGATCCCTTCTTCCAAGTTAGCAAACCTGTGAACCTGAAGATTGCTACTTTCCTCCAACCAGTGGTTCAGATGGACATGGCAGCTGGTCCGTATTTGCAAAGGACCCCTTCGTTCCAGGTATTTAGCCTGCCTCTCTTCACCTACACGGGTGCAGTGAGTCTGGTTCACAAACACAACATTCAAGTAAGTGCACACCGAAATTGGAAAGTGCATTTTTAATCTCAAGTTTTATCTTCGCATCCCACGTGGTCGGCGACATTTAAATTTTTTGCTTGCCCGGACAAAGTGCTTTCGGGCGGTTAAACCAGGTGGGTTTGCCAAAGTCATATAGATGTTTCAGAATCGATAGCTGACGGAGAGCTGTTGTTCATGTTGCATAATGGCATAATAAGGGAGTCCGAGATGGAACATTAACAAGTAAACAGATATGTCCACTTTTACCTGTCTCGCGTCATCATCATCGTCACCGACAGTAAGCTGTGAGTCTTGTGTCAGCTTTCTTGAAATTTTACTTCTCTAGGTTCGAAATGAAGGGCATTTTTACAGCAGTGAGTTCTCAGGGAAGAGATCATTCTAAATAGAGCAATAAATCTGGGATTCCTATTGTTTAGGCAATCCAAGGCCATTTCTAATAGACTCACCAGTTTGGTAATATTTGTTTACCACTGCTCAATTCGGGTCGTTTTGTCGGTGGATAAAATCATTAGTCCACATATTCTCACATCCAAAATTTACTCATTTGGACAAAAAAAAACATTATTTTTCATTCTTCCTCCAACGTTGATGGACTGTGATTATATACATCTAGGGAACATAAAGGAAATATGGTCTATTTTCTTTGACCAACTCGTATAATGGTAACAAATTACTGTACTAACGTGCCAAAAGTGGACAACATATTTAGTCTAGTGGTGCGTGTACTTACGATGAAAACTCGCAGGGTGGCAATGAATCTCTTACGAATGTCACTTTCAAAGGCCTTATACAGGGCTAGGTCATACAAATGTCACTTCAAAGGCCTTATACAGGGCTAGGTCATACATTGCTACTACCCAGGCCGGAAAATATTATACATATTTCTCAGTAGTAGTGTAAACAGCTGTTTATAACATAATCCTATAGTGACCTGCATTATTTAAAATGAAACTCCCGGTCACTATTTCGCTTTGAAATAAGTTACTATCCTGGAAGCTTTGAAAGCATTTTTTATTTCGGTTAACATTTCCACTGTTTGGGGTTGTCTTTAAGCACAACGTCGACTACTTTCAAGTGTGCTTTGAATGAAAATCTCTCTGCCCAGATGAAATAGATCCTTTCAACTTACAGGGCAGTAGGTAATCCCTTGCCCGGTCAAAGATTTCATGGTATAACTAACCTATCTGAACCCATAAAAAATTTGCAGAATGTTGCAATACGGACTCGTAAAGCATTCAAAGGCAGATATCGACGGAATTCTATCGTCCTGATACCGTTGAAACACTCGAAATCACTGAATACGAACATCGTGCACAAGTAGCATGCAAGTTGCAGTCACCAACCCTGGAGACGAAAAATCACCTACTTCCGAAAAACTCCACGTTTTTGATAAAAGATATTAAGAGTTAGGGCAGCAAGATCTTAAATTGAAATCACCGCCAGAAGAAAAGAAAGTCTGGTTATGGGTTCTTTCACAATAATTGCTCGTATGTTCACAACGGATATAGTTTTATTGTGAGGCGGCAATTCTTCATCTTACACCAGTGAATTGGCAATAATCTGACCGCACGAAACCTATTCACTTAGAAAACGTTGTATCCCCTGTTGGAAGTTAAGTGCTCACTAGATATTCCGTTCAGTCAACCATGAGACATTGTTATCTGTTTTTTTGTAACCGACGTCTTATTTCAAAGAATAATGAGCAGCTGGCCGAAAAGTATGAGGAGATAACCGTCCGAATGGAAGTGAGGAGAATAAAGGGGCAGCCAATGAATGCCAACCAATACCCACTGCTTGGAATGTTCTTATTATCCAACCTGAGGCGAGAACCCTCTTGTGGTCAGCAGGAAGGGTATCTGGACTTTTTTTAAATACCAGATAGCACCTCATTTTAAACTTCAGCATATTTATTCCATAATTTTTCATTAAAATGAGTTCTTCGTAATCGCCAACCGATTTCTGGTTTGATTATTTGACTGTTCGAACACATCTCATCCAAACATTATCTTTAGGAGTTAAAATCACCTTGTATGTTAAACCGTACAACCAGAGTGTATCATAAGCGCATCAATTGTGGCTTTTACTTATCGACGTGCTTGGCTAGGTCTTGGACTCTGTATCAGTTTACTCTTGACTCAAATCCAAGTAGTGATCAACTTCGTAAACTTTCTTGCTGTAAACCAAATGCGTAGAGATCTCAGGGGTGGACCAGCTGACCGATAAGGTGATGAAACCAGAAAACTGCCCTTTCTTTTAAAGTAAACTACTGCTATGTGCTGGTGTACAAGAAAAAACCATTGTTTGAATGCGAAAAGGTATGCAGTTTGACCCGTTGGACTTTGGCTTCGCGGAGCTCCAAGTATTATGTTGACAAAACAGAGACCGGCGGTCAGTTGAAAACAGACGAATGGAAGGCTTCCAGACGCTTTACTAAGACGTGGTCAAACATGTGTTAACTGGCAGTGTCGAAAATACCAAAACAGTGAAACCATGGTTGTTCAACCTCCCGTGTGTTTCTTGAATCTCAAAGGGGTGCGAACCACAAAATCCATTGGTCGTCTGACTGACACCTAGACAGGGAGTTCAGGAAGGCTCTTCGCTTCCTATCGGAACCACTATTGCGAATAAAGGCGGTGTAGTCAGTTGTCCCGATAAATCAACCGATTTTTGGTCGTGTGCCTTTCCATTGTAGCACGTGGCGCCACAACGCTCCAACCATATAGGTTGCATGTTGACATGTCTGGAAGCACCGGCAGGGATACAGGTATCTGTTGCGGCGCCATTTCCTATCCAACCGCTGAAACGGAATGCGGCAACTTTTGTGATGTTTACAGTGGGTTAACAAGACAGCCGTAAACAGAAGTTCTATGGATATCATGCCCAAGCAATACGGGGGGTGTTCCTGTTTTTTTCTGCTTTAAAACGGTAGACGACAGGAGCCGCTCGTGCCATCTTCCTGACATTTGCACGCTTTAGATTAGTGAAAAATATGTGCCGAGTGAATATGCACAATCCAATACAGAAAGCTCCAAAAAGCTGTCTAGAGGTATGTTGGTCCCCCCAGTGATTTCGATAACTAGCCAGCGCAATAGTCGCCTTGTACGCCCTGTTCTACGGGAAAATTGTTTAACCGTGCTAAAAGCTGACGTAGTCCAATAGCCACTCTGCAATTTTTCAAGCAAATTAGCTGTCTAGTTGAATGTCAAACGAAACTTACTGAATTCGACTCAGTATCTGGGGAGTGCTATTTAAGTTTTCCCCAGTGGTTCACCCGTAAAATTGATTTGTTCATCCTTTACTTAGTTAAACACTGACAAGGGAAATGAAATGATTTTCATGGGTTATAAACTTTACCACCTTTGGGACAGGTAGTACTCCATAGAATGTTAACAGGATTTATGTTTTATAGCAGATGAGCACAGGCTTCATCACATACAATTCTTTCATCCTCTAACGATTCTCTGTTTACTTATTCCTTCTGTAATTCAATCGTTTTCGAATTCGAATGGCCTCCAATGCTTCAGGTTGGAAAGCATCTCCAAGATGCGTCACTTCTTTAATGCGGATGCGACATTTATCGCTGAACTCATTAGGTACCACCGACCGGTTCATTTTTGGCCAAGTGGCCATCCATCTATTGAGTCGACAATCGCATGGGTTTATTAATATCAGTATCCTCTACGCGATGGGATTGTTACAGGGAAGGCTTTAATATGAGTTCAGTGGTCTTTTTTTCAAACAGCTTATAGCGAAGAATTTGCAGACCGCTTGACGAGAAGGAGAATGAAACTGATAATTAGCAAATGAACGCTCCTGAGCTGCCTATATTTCGACAAATCGCCAACTTCTCAGGGCGCTATTCTTAAACAAAGCTAGTCAATGAACAGGCTTCGCCTAACGACAGGCCTGTGGACGACGGCACTTCCCAATCAGTGCTTGCGTCGTGCTGTTCCGCACAACGTAAGCTGGGTCAGACAAAACAGTTGAGCGGCTGTCGAACCCATGGTCGCAACTGCGCATTTCCATACAGGTGTGTAAGAGGTAAGAACACTGGGTGAATCGAGCCCGACTGAGAACAATGGGGCGCGAAAATTCACAACAGCATGGCAAGCAGAAAGTGTGGTATCTATTACTGAAACCAGAGGTCTCGTTTTGATAGAATTCATAGGCTGAACGAAATCCACGCTAACAAAATGATGACCATGAAGCTTGGCTCAGCAATCCTTCCAGATGTGTAGTCATTTTGTCCAAAAATTCCACGGAGCTGCAGTAGATATGTGACCTAGTGGTAGCTGCGCAATGACATGCGCTCCATTAGCTCAGAAGGCAGCTTCGCAAAATTCCCTTTGTGCCTAGGTTGCGCAACAGATTGGTCAAACACTTTTGAGCAGGAAAACTTAGCAGTGAAAAGGTGAGGATAGATGGAACTTCATCCAGCAACCAAAATGATGTATGAATAGAGTGCTGGCTTTACTCATGGTGATAATGTCTCTAGGATAGCCCTACCAAAGAACCAGTGAGCAAATTAATCAGAAACCCACCCAGACCGTCAAGGGGCCACAAGAGAAGATTATTTAGGACTAAGAAAGTAAGAGCGCGCTATTCCACGTCTTTTTTAGCCGACAGGATACAACAGAAGCAGTATCGCTTCGAGAAATCACATTAATTATCCTACCGGAAAATTTAACAGAAGATGATTAAAGAAATACACTACTCACAAAGCAGCCAAAATCGCTCCGACAGCCCGCGACCTCTTTTGTCCTTCCTTGGCCTCCTCAGGTAAGCGCAGGTTGTTAGTTTTCACCAGCCTCCTGTTCTGACTGAACTCCAAGATGTCCGCGAGTAGAGAAATTTACTAATTCGTAAATTATGTTGGTGCCAAAGCGAGATTCAAATGAATCTCCCGTTCATGGTATTCTTGAAGTAAATATTCCGCACAAGGGCCGGTGCTGGAAGATCTGCTATAGCCCAGTAGCAGGTTTGCTTTTTTGGGCCTCATTGGGTAAGCGTAATCTCCGAGGTTTTCGTCAATCTTATGCTTCACTTAAGTGAATCCAGTAGTGGGCTGTCGATGAGTTATCATGTCATGTGAATGGAATATAAGGCGGTGTTTTCGTGTATCGTGCCAGCGGAAGAATGAGGCGGTCTTTGTGCGGCACAATCGGTCGAAGAATAGCAGAAACGAGATATTCAGTTGAGTCTCCCGTTAACACTGATGTAAGTTCCGGATAAGCGTGCTTTGCCGGAGTTGAAGAAGGTTAAGACATCCTATTGGTAGTTCTTATTCAACGATGCAAGACAGTTTTTAGTGAAACTTTAGGATCGAGGAAAGTGAAGGGGGATAAAAGTTGGCCTCACTTGACATGATTTTGTTGCCTAAGTTCGTGACCACGCCAAACAATTGTCGCTGAAATATTGGATCATTTTGCCGTAGTAAATAGAGATTTGAAGGAAAAAGGATAGTTAGAAGTCGCTTAGTTTACCCTTTACTGTGTTTTATGGGTCCAACGCAGAATAACTGACAGGGTAATCATATAGAAGGCAGTGTGAAAGACCAGACGGCCTGTCCGTCTGTTCGTGAAACTCGCAATACGGTTCTGTTAAGCTAAAGATGTTGCCGACATCGTAAAAGAGTGGACTGTCACAAGCAAGTCAATGTAAACAAATATTGTGACAACGTCCAATTTTTACGCTATATGTTACGCTCAATTGTTAATATCATTTCATGCCATACCAAGATAAAAGCGATCACAAGCCGATATTCCTGTTCGTCCACATCGGTGGATCACCAAATGGACACAAACAAACAAGATTGCTGCACACAGATGAAGTTATAACCTACCCCATCAATTATACAAATCTTCACAAACACACTATTCCTGCGAATAGGAACTAACATTCAACGACAAAGAGGCACATTTGTCTTAAAGGGAAATAGTTGCTCAAAACATTGATCAGAAGTTTCTAGGAAAAACATGAGCAGAATGCAAGTGATTTGAACTTGCGTTGTTCTTGCTTTTTCTAAACATATATCAGCGAATTTCATCCCTATCTTCACACAGCTGGTCTGTTTTCGTCCGATCTGATGGTAGGCTTGCTTTCACTTCGTCTACGTGGCAGTTGCCAAAAACACTCATTGAAAGTTGTATAGTACATTGTATTGGTCAGTGTATCGAATTTCCTCCTTGATTTCGACAGTGCTGCCTGTAATATGCCCGTACGTCTGTAGGCCACCGTTGAATCGTAATGTCATAGTAACTTTTCAGTCGGACTAATAATGGGGTGACCAGATCAAGAGTAAAGAAGGGAACCGAAGCTACAGAAGAGAAATAATCTACCCGAAATTTGCCCAGGGTTACGCCATTAATTGATATTTCAGGGAGAAAACTTCAAGCTCACAATTGCACAAGGGAACGGGTAGAAGATTGAAAGTTGAAATACGGGAATCGACACCCAGCAAATTCGTCAACAACAAAATATATAGAGGGTGATTCAAGCAAGTGAGGAGAAATTAACTGCAAAATACCAAAAGAAGGATTGTCTCCAGTTAAGCAATCAAAGGCGAAGAAGTCAACCAAACAACGTATACTAAATGGAACATAGAGTTGCGGTTAGCGGATCAGACGCTAGCAGATCTGAGCACCCCCGGACAAATCTAGGGCGTACCGATAAGGAAAAAGACGCTTTGTAAATAGGTGGTCACCAAAACACTCAGCTGACTAGACGACATCGCGGAACGAAAAATCAACACAACGCCACCTTTTAGTTGGCTATTCATGCCGAAGCTTATAAGTACTGTGGGAAATCTATTTATACGCAGGCAGAATTCGAAGCGGCGTCACAAATAAATATCGTTGACCTCTCCCGAACTGGTGACGAAACGTCTGCAAGCAGCTGACCAAGTTTGACGAAAGATCACTACTTGATACTTCCTCTTGCAAATGAAGTCATTCCGCCAAGAAAAACCGTGTCCCTCCTTCATCCTCGGTGGGACTCATTAACTGTGCACACGTCACGTGTCTATAGACGTATCTAGACCAGCAAACTCCTCGTTTGCGGTTGGGCACTACACTACTCCGGCACGGTGATCTGGACCGTAATTCGTTCAACTAAATCAGAATTTAGTACCATTCATCCCTTATTCACACAGGACATAGTATGGGATCCAATGTTTGATGAATCCTCCAACCCGTGTCTGTTGATTTATATAATCTGTCAGAGCATAGACTTACTTAGGACTCAGTGAAAGGCTATCTCCTGTAACTGGTGTGAACTGATGAGTTTAATAAAAGTTTTAACCTATAATTTCACCCAGTTTACTGGTGATTCAAAGGTGTCCGATTAATTGTACTTCATTTCGGCGGAAATACATGCCATCTCTAGGTGAGAACTGTTATAAGTACTAGACCGATAGATTAACCAGTTCATGTTTATTTCTTTCTCCAGGTAGTTGGCTACATTGATGAAAGTGTCATTACCTATACTGTGCAGTCATGGAGACCAAATTTCGATGGCAGGATTAGTTCTGAAAACAAAAGACAATTTGGTTCTCTCAGACTAGATGGACGTTTCGCAGAAGGTTTGGTATTCGGGCCACCGCATATCGTAGCCATGCGTTTAACCTACGCGCACACAGGGGGCTACACACCAACGATAGAGCGTGTGCCGTTGTCAGTGAGTGTTCCAGGTCTTACGCGACATTTTCGAACTGCTCGTGTGCGGCGGTCATTGGCTCCACTGAGTACTCCTCCACACCAAACTGGGAAGAACACAATCCATGATGGTCATCTCGGCAGTTTGAGTTTGCGTCGTGAACGCAACACTTTTATGACCCGTCGTAATCGTCGTCGCCGCAGAAGAAACGAAGATTCATCACCCGAATTACAGTTAGAATTATCAGTCCGCATTGTACGACTATACAACCGGGTAAGTTATCCGTGACAAAACCGAAAGTTTGAAAACAGTAAAACCATTCAGAAGAACGCGCTGGTGATTCATGCATCTAAAATGATATTAATAAAATAACCACAGTCATAGTTCTGATGTTGACTTATGCAAAAAGCATTCTATTAATGTAGAAATGTTGTGCTCACGTTTGCCCGTTCGGTCACCAACAGAATTGACGTAGTTTACTTCTCGTGAGACAGAATTAGGATCCGATTGTCCTGTCCAAGGTGACCGACCCATTGAGTAGGGGTGTTAAAACAGAAGGCGCCCTTGAAAAGATTCACCTAATGCAACATTATTATAACGTATAATTCACATGCTACACTGTTAAGTTGTACGAAAAGGAAACTACTGGCGCGGTATGTCTTTTACGCACCATTCAACTGTATTTTTACTGATTTTGAAAAAAGCAGTGATAGAAATTAATTGCCGCGCCATTTCTTGGACGAACCAAATATACGAACTCAGCCTGTATGAGGTGGAACAAGGAATCTCTTTCTATGGAGACTAGGGTGTACTTTTGTGACGGAAATCCTCGGACAGGGCTTTATATTGGCCTCATTTGCATTGCCTGTAGACTGTATGTGACATATAAACAGCCTGTGCAAACTTTATGGGAGAGCTAATCACCATCTGTTGTTCCTGATAACCGGTTACTGTTTTATTGAAGGTACTTAGAGCGGAATGCATGGCTCAGATCTGCAAATGCGCTGACTCCGGTAGGTGGAATTTTGTGGAAAAATCCTTTTGGCTGATGAATACAAACGATAGGATTGATTTTAAAGGCCGCTCACGTTTCGAAGCTAATTGGTAGATTCCTTTCTGACGAATGCGTTAAAGTTATTTCACTTGGTTTAGAAGTGAAAACTCTGCAAACGAATTTGGTTGTACTGTGAATGGCACGATCCGCAGTGGAAACTTTTGGCAATCCTCTTCTGAGTGCATTTACACTTACATTCTTCCGTAGTTTCGTACACCTCTTGAAAATTTGATTTTGACGAAATATGGGATAACCTAGTTTGTAAAACGTGGTGTGCTTTGTTTGGGTCCCACGTTTCTCAGAAGGCCCATTTTAAGTGAAAAATTGTCCAGCTTTCCAGTCCGTTCAGCATCACATACGAAAGCGGAGATTGAACCTATACTGGCTTGAATCGCCACACTTCATGTTTGAAACAGGAGGTCCCAGTTTTATAACCCTTGCAGTGACCTTGTGCAAAACTACTCAAGGCCTCTTTTGCAGCCGTCCATATGTCATCTGTACGCTAACTCATCAATTACCAAGTGATAAACTCAGACAGGACACTGAAATATACTGTGCCGTTCCTTTTGGGTCGTCCTCTGGAACAACGCTTTACATCATCTTGAGGATTCATTCTAAATTTTTGGTGAGCTTTTGAAGGCCTGGTCAGAATTATCAACACAGCTGGGGCATGTCTGTGTTGCACTATCCAGAACCACTGTAGATATGAGTATCGCTCACAAAGTTCGATGAAGATTCAGATACAAATAGGAACTATCTTCCTTGTTAAACGTATGTTTTTAGACAACTGGTTTTGGGGATTACAGTCAGGTACCCAACCTTAAACCCAGTCCTTTGTGTGTATTTGTTCCTCACGTTTTTCCAAAAACTACATTTATTTAGGCCAAAAATAAAGATGGATGCGGTCTCGTGTTGTGATATATACTGTTCACCCGTAAGCGGTCGTTACCGGTACTTTACAGAGAAGTACACGGTTCGTGACAGCCTTGTGTATTCGTTGAGCTATATATACAGCTGTATTCTGTCCAGCACCTAAAAATTTCAAGCCAATCGGTCATCTAGACGGGCCAAAATAAGATGTGACGGTTGCAATGGTACCGGTTATGCTGTTCACGTTTGTGAGACTATGCGGTGCGTGCTGGTGGCAAGTATGCAGCCTTATTCAGTTCTTTATCATTCCTAATTGTTGAATAAATCAGGAGCGCTTTAATTACCCGATTAATTGTATCACGGCTTGTGAAACTAGTGCTATAAAAGTTCAGGGGCTGTCCACGAGATACTAACAGAATCTCTCATACCATGTTGGTCAATGGGTAAAGATCTGATGAACACAGACCTCTGGCTCTCCAGTTTGGGGGTTGGAACATGTGTGACGACGTGTTCCGTAAGAATGGCAACGTACTTAAATTTCTAGCCCAGCATCTCTGCCTTGCGGTTGGCCTTTTGAACCAAAGGCTTTGGTTGAGGACCTTAATCGTCCTCCTCTCTAGGCTTTGTAAGCGCCCTGGCACCATCCCAGCCCTCGTACAACCATGACATTCACAGCTAAAAGTACCTAATGCCAAATAGACTGTCACGTGGTGCAATCTGCCGGGCCGCCTTGTTAACCGTTGTCTCTACAAATCCCATCATCGTATATTTTTTACTTGAGCTGAATAATTTCTAATAAATTTTTGATAGTGTAATACTTTTTGATATTCGCAAAACTTTTGTGCTTACTCTTGCGATGTCGTCAAAGAGCTCATTAAAACATTCTGAAATAAAAACAACCTGTCTGGGTACACATCACAAACGACTGCTGTTAGGACGATAGATGTTTGGATTTTGCCTAAGTATTCCGATGTCTGATCCTCATGAAACTCAAAAGAATGTTGGGTTCAAACTGGTTGCTATAATTTCATCTGATAACCAAATTTAGTGGACGAATTCGTTAATGTGCTGTCCCAGTTAGCTCCCCAGGTAGTAAGCAGAGCTGCGCGATATGTAAACAGAGTGACACACTACAGGTGGGTCATCCGATTCCCGACTGTCACTACGCGTTGCATTTCAGGTTGCACTTCTTCATCATAACCAGCCAAACTGTCTCAAAATAACGACCGTAAGCACGAACCAAAGCAAAACGAACCAAAAATAATACATATGATGTATAAAATGGATTTTAGTTGTGGATGGGGGGATAAGTGTATTCACTCCGTTGATCTTCACAGATCCCGGATGGAGCCCTCAGGTCGGGTGCTACCTACCGTCTCGCAGGATCTTCCTACCTGTGTTTTACCGCGGAAGATCTTCTGACCGCGGAGGCACTACAAGCTGTTCGAAGTGATCTGGTCAACCTTGCATTTACGGTCAAAGTAACTCCAAGCCTTGGGGTGCTTACTTATCGCTCAGTCATAACGAAGTTAAGGAAGCATCGTCCACCTTCGGATGCCTTTGGTTCATCCACCGATGCGGTTACCAGAAGTGATGCGGAACTGGCCGTTGCACAAGAGCAGCACATCTTAGAACAGTTTCAGGTGAGCGAAATAACGGTGCATGAATTGGAAGCAGGCGACATCTGCTACATCAATCAACGTCGTGATAGAATCACTGATCTCATCGGACTTAGGCAGACTGGTCGACACGACTTTCCGACCGTATATATGAACCTGGAACTTCTGGTGAGTTTTTTCTAAAAGGTATACCATTAACAAACAGATTGCAAAATAAATCTTGGTAGGCCCAATCTTAGGAGGTTTAGTGGAATCTCACATGCAGTCTGAATTATGGAAACACGATTAGTTGCTGTTTATGGTTTAGGTGTTATACACCGAATGAATATTCCATCCGTTGTCACCTGACGTCTCGAACTACTGAGAGGAAATCTGACTGGCAATTTATGACACCTAAGCGGGTTAACACGAATATCTCAGTGAAATTGGTCTGAGGCACATGCATAAGGAATACCAATCTTGGTAGCCTGGTAAGTCAGGAATAGGGGCAAGTAACAGACTTAGACTCTAGTATTCGATGGGTAATAGTTTAACCAGATATGATGAATTACTTGGGATTGCAACCTAACTGTTTTTTGGCACCATATGGGAAATCGTGAATTTATGCTAGCTGTTACTTTACCTGATGAGATTGACATCAGAAGCGCTTCTTGCTAGGATAGTTTTCTTCCAAGTCTTGTCTTATCTGAGGTAATTGCAGTGGAAAGGAACGGAGTTCTGATGAATCGAACACAACCGCTTACTGTGTTGTGTATTCATGTTGCTTTGTGTTGCGATTCTCTGGAAATTACACTGGGATTGACATCACTCTTGTTAAAAGATACTCAAATAAGTAGTTGTGAAACGTAGTGAAAATGGTTTACTTGGTGTGGTCAATTGCAAATGTGATTCCTTTTTTTGCCAGCCGCCATCGAGGATTGTTCTATCTGAGCGTATGGATCCCAACGTGTTTATGCGAGCCCGCGAAACTGCTCCACATGTTGTAATAACTCCGTTGCATTTGAATCACATCCTTCAATTCGCTGATCCATACAATGGTTATGCAACGAACAACCTAACAGAAGAGAGTCTTGCACCAGATAGCGTTGTCTACCAGATCACTGGTCCGCCTAGGTTTGCTGCTACAGACACCAGTGTGGGGGGCGTCGAAGCGACTCATGAAGCTGGTCGACTGGTCAGCTTAAGCGCTGTGACAGCTAGTACTCACGAGGGGGACATGAATCTCCAACCGGGCTTGTCTACCAGCCTGCGTGAAGCAGAAGCACCGTCGGTGACCGAATTCACACAGAAACAAATCAATGATGGTGATATTGTCTATGTCCCTCCTGTTTCCGATATTGGCATAATGGTAAGTCTTTTCACGATGACTCAGGAAATGGTGGTCGTTGGGTTGTTCGCTGAGCTGGGCAATTTGACTGCAAACGTTTCATCACCAATCGAGGTGACATCATCAGTGCGTTATTGTGGAGCGTAGTAGTGCTAAGCACTACTGATGAAACGTTTGCAATCAAATTGCCCAGCTCAGCGAACAAGCCAACGACCACCATCTACACTACCTGAGCTACCGACATTTTCCTCTTTACAGGACTCAGGAAAATGTAGACCTGGAAAACTGTCATTTCACTGTACTGCTATCCTCATGCGCATGGTAACCTCCATTTTACAACAGTAGCCGTCGATCAACAAACCTACTCGATATCAAGATCCGACAATCAATACATTTTGTTGAAGTTACAAACAATTGTTATTTTTATTGTAATCTATATTAGCCCAATGAGCATACCACTATGTGTTCTCTACTAGTTCACATTTTAACCGTACTTTGGCATTTTATAATCGGAGTACCGATCTGGTTGCAAGCACATTACATCAAACACGTTTAGAGTTACTGCACCAAGTGTGCAGCTTCTGTCACACAGAGTAGCAAAGTAATGTGATGAGCGAATGCGCTATCACGAGCAAAGCGGAAGTTGAGTGGTTTGAAGAAACGACGAGTAGAAACGCTTTAAAAGAAGTGACCGAATAGGGAGCACAAGACAAGAGAATGACACACAAGAAAATTTTAGACCATGAAACACTACTTGCACCTGAACTTTCGAAATTGCCCGCTATTCTCTATCTCTTTATTAGGACAGTGTCCACTTTTCAATACCTGCTCGAGTACCTTAGTTACTCTCTAGTAGTTTTCAGCAAACCCCACTGTCAGCAGTAGAGTCACACTGATGGTTATGATACGGGTCGAAAAAGTCTGTATCCGAATGATTCTACTCGACTGCAACCTAACGATCAGTTTTGTACTTCGTTTGCCTTTCAGGACAAATTTGTCGTCGTGTATTATGCAGTGACCGGTCCAGGCAATGTTCGTCTTCCAGATCGCCAGCTTCGTGTTTTGATTGTTGCTGAGGATAATCAAGCACCAAAGATGGAGGTAATACAGACGAAACTGATTGTGGGCTTTATGAATTTCTTGTCATGTTACGTCCGAAAACGTAGCTCTAGTTATGTTATTACCAAGACACGTTCTGAAGTGTCGATAAATATCAAAACATTTGGCAACTGGTGTTGATCAATCAAACGAAGACTGAGGTGTGGCCGAGGATTCTAATAATGGTGCTTAGTTTTAAGGAAAATGAGTTGTGAAAAAGAGAAAATTCACTTTTTCCAGAATTTACAAAGCATATCTGAAACAAAACTTTGTGAGTACGGTTTCAGCCAATAAGTTTATCTCCATTTCTTTACGTACGCCCAAATAGGTTATTGCTTTATTAGTGTGAGAGTATTGAAGTTCACTGTGACGCTAGGGAGCTGGCTGAGTATCAGATTGGGATGTGAAATGATAAATTCGAATCAGGTTATCAAAATAAAACCTCATTAAAAATAAAGGAAAATAAGAGAGGTGGGGGAGAATTTGCAAATTAAACACCTTTTGAGTTTGTAAGGAGGCAGTTGGAAAGAGGACGACGCTGGTATCACCTTCAGACAGATGTTGGCTCCGACGGCTAAAAAACACCGTTGATTCGGATGAACTGACTGAGGATGGACAAATGTCGCATTTTGTCCGAAGTGAGATTTGTATTACAGGCTAAATGATGTGTTTGTGTTTGTTAAGAAATTTATTTTATATATGGGTAATACCAAGCACCGTCACAGCAGTGTGTTGTGCTCTAAGCATCATCTCTGAGACCAAGATCTTGGTAAGACATAAAATTCTAGCTCTGAGCGCTGAACCAGAGAATTGAATTCGTCAAACGAAATGATTTGGAGGTAAAATATGTAGACCACCTCTGTCTATTCACTTTGCTCAATAAAACCTGCTAATGGCAAATTGTCTTCCTTGAAGCTTTTAGATAATTTTCTCATCCATCAGTTCACTTATTCGGAAAAATCCTTCTCTTTGAATTTTAAATGAAGGTTCTTCATCCACTAGACGTTGCGCGCGATGGCGAGCTTTTGCTGAACTCCGACCTGATTTCAATCAGTGATGTGGATACTGCATCGGACCGACTGAGTGTGCATTTTGAACGTTTACCACGCTACGGTGAAATTTCGTTGCTGATGAAAGATCCCCGAAAATTTAACTCCACTTATCCAGTGCCGGTAACTGAGGGACAGAGGTTATCGGTATCCATGTTCAAAGCGGGACAGCTAAAGTAAGTGCTGGAAACTGTAAATTATGATTTCTTTCGTTTTGAGACTAATCACAATTAAGTGGACTTACGCAGGTCCTGATAACTCCATTCTCTGTTTCCACAAAGTCCTCAGATAGAATCGTTCGACACGCTGGTCAATGAGTCTCAATGAGACAAGAGCCTAATGCGAATGGGACATAAAAAATGCAATTACTCATGAAGATATTCTGTCTAAAATGAGCGCATATGGAGGGGAACACTCCCCTCTAGTGACCACGCTTGGTTAGTTCCCCGAATTCAACTTCATTTCTCATTCACCTCAAATGAGTCTCCAACTTTCCGAAGAAACCTTTCCATCGACCAACGCAGCAGCAATTTTCAAAGAAGACAACTGTACAGTCTCAGTTTTGAGCATAAAGTCTTGGATTTGTTTTCAAACTTTGTTTGAATGGGAAACTGTTTCCAATAGAAAAACTGCCAGAACTCCGTTTGACTCATTCACGATTCCCTGAACATAGACAGTGGTCTTGTTTTCCCAGCTGCAGTGAGCTATCTTAGGCTTGCCCTTGGACACTTTGAGGTATAAGGCTTCGGCACTACAGGCGAAACTTACCCTTTATGACCCCACTCATTTTTCCGGATTTGAACAACTCCAAAACATAGACAAACAACAGGTGTAGAATTTTATGTCATACGTTTATCGTTTCCGTGGTGCAAAACATTGTTGACCGAGATCCAAACCAAGCAAACCAAGTTTAAAATAACCATTCGCCTTGCTTTAGAAGGTGATTAAAACATCCAAAACTTCAGGAGCCACTAGTGCACCTTCTTCCCCAAAATCAGTACAAAGTGAGGTGATTTTATCGTACTGTCTGGATGACTTACATTCCGGACGCTTTAGGTACATTTCTGCCACTCTCGGAAGTTTGCAGTTTTTACTGTTTTTTTCGTCACCCACATGATCGAAAGATTCGCGTCTAATTATTTTCACAGTCCGGACAATTTTAAAGGTTGGGATACATATGGTTGTAAATGACTGATTGGGAAATTTCTGAAGCCCTCAGGTAGTGAATCAGAGTGTGGCAGTAGTGCTGCTACAGGTGTCTAATAAGCTTGTCTGATAGATCCAATAACAGGTGTTTCATGCAGGTGCGGGAAATCGCCCTACATCTAAACCCAGACTGATTTTTACTGCAACTACGGAGATTCGGTTCTTCTTGAGGGTCAATTCCGGTTGTTCCTGGTCACGGTCGCGAGCCTGGATTAGTGCTACCATGATGGGTTTCTAAAAGTTCACTGTGTCTTCCTGTCGTTATAAATGTAGTAAAAGAATGAAAGGTTACTACTTATTCACCCAAGATTAGAAGATGAAAAGCAAGTTATCCCTTCTTGACGATCCAATGGATTAACAGGAGTTGGGGACGTTTCTTGCAATCACATGTATACTTTAACCGCATCGCCTTTTTCCTAAGGCGTCGTTGGTCAACCAACACTCACTATACTGAGCACTAGAGAAACAAGGAATATTTTTCTTAGCGTGTGACCGTAGGTTTGTGGTTTACACAATGGCTTTACAAGGGATGTGGTACCAGTGCCATCCGACTGGAGGGCCTGTAGCGTTGACTCCAGATGTGTGCGAATAGCTAGATGTATGGATATGCGATGAATAAAAGCTTTCAGAAGGGCTACAACCTTTTTCTGTCTAAGTACTCATAATGCCTTTAATCTCAGAAACTACCCAAATTTGATTCGTCGCTCCAAACAATGGTTTGTTCAAAATAGACGTCACAGTTCACCAGAACAAATCTGGACGTCAAAACCACTCTGGTTTACAGTGATAACGTTACGCAGGCCACTTTGTGTGCTATTCTGTTCAGAATGCTTTCACAGGAATTTTTCGACCCATATGGTTCCTTCTGTTCCATGCAGTTTCAGACTGCAGAAAATAACATTGTTATGTTCTTTTCTACGTACGGCACACGATTCAATATATAAGCCATTTATGGGTCATAATTAATTAAGCGGTGTCTTCCTTTAACTTTATTTGGTCAATCCGTGTGTGCTGGATTCGGCGCTGGGTTAGGATTGGCGCTAAATTAGCACTGTCGATCCACCAGAGTAGTATCTTTCATTTAAAAAAGTCTGTGTAGGAAGCAAACGAATGCCTCCATGCAAATAGACATCAGCGTTACCTGAATCTCAATGTATCATCAATCCGGCAGGACCACAAAGTAGGCTCTTCAAACTGAACAACTTCCAGACCGAATATCACGGACGGTTAAGTTCCCAATTTTAACGTCTGAATTGCTTCCGATATAAGCGTATATCTGATTTTGTGATTTTATGCATAGCCTTTATCGTTTCTTTGAAAACACTGACAGTCATGTGAGCTACCGGTACACTCCATCTGGTGAGTATTGTCCCTTTAAAATAATTCTTGTGAATTTTGTTATACAGCTGTCATTAACGGGAATAACGTATACAGATTTTTTTGAATTTGAGCATTGATAGAGACTCGTCGTGTAAGTGCGTCCCCTGAAGAACAGTCATTTACGCACTCTTATGGTTGACAGACTAATGACAAGCCTCTTTCTTGATGTTTCTCCGTGATGACCTGTGGGTTTATGGAAGAAGTAAGTACGCCGAATTTCGTAGCACCGGTCCAAGATAGGGTATACATGCACATATTCAGGCACTTGTGTTGCTAAGTTAGAAGTTCATTAGAGTTAATGTCAGACCAGCGTAACCAGTGGTCGTGGAAACGTCAGTGTGCACCTCAAAATTTGCTTTCTGCCGAAACGCTACCATGAATAACCGCTTCCTTCATATGTAACCGGGGTGACTCGAGTCAGATACGCGAGCAAACGGTTTTCTAAATTTTATCATCTCAGTCCAGGTATATAATCCACCGAGGACAGTAAAGTTGCAAGGCTCCAAAATTCTTACCGGATAGTTTATAGGATCGAAAATCGTACATGTTTGTATGTGCTTCGTTGGTGTTTGACAATATACATTGACTCCATCTTGAATCCATTCGAAAAAATAAGCACACAAGTAAGCGATGCCTTGGGTCTCCGTTTTTTTTATGAAAACTTAGTAATTAAGAGAGGGGAACACATACACAGTCGGTGTATGTGTTTTCCCTTTTCCTGTTGATCTGAACTCGCTCCGTTGCAAGTTCGTCACCCGAGGACAGGACATCATAGTGCAAGGACAATTTTGTCTTTGTTGAAAGGACGACTTTGTGTTCAATCTTGATCGACGAGGAGAAGTATCACCTGTTCTTCCTGAATGTGTGGCTTCCTTTCATAATGGGTTTTCTGGTCGTATCCATACCATGATCATGTGGCAGGAAACAAACGAACATACACGACGTTGTTTTCCTTCAAATAGTTCACTCTTTCTGTCAACGTAATTAAATTGACATGCTTACCTGTATTCCACCCGGCACCTAATCTGCATAGTCAGTTATTATGCTGGAACTTTCTCACTGAATGACGTTCCTGATAACGGCTAATCTTACATCGTACTCGCCCGAAATATCGGCCGCGTGTATGAAAAATGGAGCTGGATCATCAAAACACCTGTAGTTTATCTGTTCATGCTTTCACGACAATTAGTCGCCATTGACAATAAATCTCTGATACTGGCGACAGAATTAACTGTGCGTAGCATTACCGTTTCTCAACTCCCCCCAGAATGATAACTGCTGATGAAGTACAAACTGCGATTTGGTATGCTAACTCTTGAAAGGGTATGCCTAGCTTTTTAAGGTGTTTCCTAATATAGTTATTAGTGAGTATAAGCTTGACATTGTCCCATTTGTACAGATTGCGCAATATAGTACCCGGAATAAGGCATAGACACCGCCTACACTTGAGTCCCCTCTGTTTGTGTTGTATCAACCGAAAATATATCAACTTGCGAACCAGAATTTGTCTGTCACTAGTTTGACAAGAGCATCGTTGAAGTTTTCAACGCTGATTTCTGTTGTCACATTCCCAAGACACTGGGCTTTGAAGAGTCTGTAAAAGCGCACGACCGCTTACTGAAGGCAATTTTTCGTGTTCAGTTGGTGAAAAATTGCCCGTGATGACGAAAAATTCGGACACATTGCCCTTTCCTGAAGGCGATGTATTTCGTGCGACAGTTAATATCAGCTTTCTCTGCCAGAACCGTCTAATGTGCGATCCCTCCGAGGAGAAGGCAACCTTTTTCTTCTCTGTGATGATCTCCCCTCTTTCTTACCACCTGAATTTCGCACCATTGTTGCTCGCCCATTGGATCATTAGCTTAAACAAAACGAACTGGCCGTCTGAACCGTGAGAAACTCTCGAAAAGGAACTCAGTAGATGCATACAGCCCGACAATCACTGTGGAGCAATGTCATTCTCGTTGAGATGAGCTAATTGTACGAACCGCACAAAAGAATGAAAAAATTGGTTCTCGCGAGCTTTGCATTGAGGGCCGGACACCGTGATATTTGGCTACGAGTTGTGACCCATCAGTGAGGTAGGAAACATTGTCACAGATCATGTCATGTGCAGTGGTGGTGACAGGCTGATCGCGCAGCGACGTCTGAGAGTGGGACTTCAGGCTGCCTGGACATTTTTTTCTTTTGCCCATAACTTCGTCCCCAAGACAACCAAAGGCCCTGTGACAGCAGGATGCCCTGCAAATGAAAGATCTAGAAACCAGTACGGAGAATTCTGTTGCTGCTGTTTTCTGTTATTCACCTAAGAGTCACTTTATTCGATGACGAATGCAACGCAAACGGTTTTTCCATCAGTAGTTCGCAGGTTCCAGTGTTAAACATTAGCAATCTGAATCTTTCCTAAGTTGGCCAGAATAATCAATCAAAATAACTGAAGAGTTTCTTCATCCTTATTCACCAAATAAGTTCCTCCACACACATAGTTTGAATGCCCCTGGAATATCGGTTATGGGACCACAAGTGTCAAATGTTATCGAACACTAAATTACTTGATATTACTAGACAATTATTTGAGTCCAAAGGCATT